CAAGCTTTACATTTACGAATAAAGCTCAAATCATCCTGTGATCAAGATGAAGAAAAAATTCGAAATACTGAATAAATTTCATATGCAGCAAACACGAAGTGATTACCAATTTTAGCCAGTATATTTACAAAATGTAATTTAAATTTAATTGCTTAAGATATATGATCTCAGATGCCATTCAGGTTTCCTCACACATCTAATCTTGGCTCCTTAAATTAACTTTAATGATTGTCTTAAGATATTTAATTTACTCATAAAACGTTTTAATAAAACCATTAATTAACGAAATATATACATAAATTTGCCTTTATTTGGATCACTGATATTAAATTTTAAATGTATATTAGTTAATTATAACGATAAAAATTTAAGAAAAGGTAGATTTTAATACATTGCTTTTTATTTTAGACATGAGAATGAAGTAAACCAGATACAAATTTTCGCATTAGTAAAGTTAACTAAATTTCTGAATGCATATGTGAAAAGTCATATATTTTGAAATATATTCATATATTTTGAAAAGTCATATATTTTGAAAATTAATGAAATGTAAATTAATATATCTGTAATGTAATTTATCTGTAATGTATAATTATCTGTAATGTATATTATCTGTAATTATCTGTACTGTATAATGTAAATTAATATTCTGGTCACACGTAACACATCCAACTTCAGTACTACAGTTTACCGTAAACCTTCATCGGTTTGCCTTCCACCACACTTTAAATCATGTCATCCGACTAAACAAAAGTTAGCTTCATTTTATTCCTATGTTTTCCGTGCTCTTCAAGTTTGCTCCTCCAAACTAGCCCTTGATGAAGAACTAAATTATTTAAAAGCAATAGCTATTGACAGGGGCTTTTCACCCAACATTATTAATCAAGCAGTTAAAAAATTTTCATCTCAACACACTAAAAGCCACACTCTTATTTTAGGAGATTATAAAAATTCTGTTGTCATTCCCTTCTTTCCATCAATTAGCTATAAAGTTGCACATATTTTGCAGAAATTTAACTTTCGGGTTGTTTATCTCCCATCAATAAAATGCCAAATTCTATACTCAAGGACCCCATTCCGGATATGAATTCCTGGGGTATTTATAGGTTTCCTTGCCAGTGTGGTTTAATTTACATTGGCCAAACTAAGAGAGCCTTAAATTTCGCGTCAAAGAACATGAGGCATATGTTAGAAAAAAGGAAACACAGAAGTCTTCTGTTGCTCAACATTGTTGGTCCGAAAATCACACTTTCAATTTTTCTGCTGCCAAAATTATTCAAAAAACATCTTCCATTGGAGAACTGGATTTTCTAGAGGCATTTCACATTCATAAAAATCTTTCTGTTCTAGTTAACGATCCTAATTCCAATCCAAATTTGCCTTCGGCTTTTAGAGAAATTATGTTTTAGTTCTGGTTTCGCCAACAGATGGCGCCACTTGCTTATTCTTGTCCAGGCTTTCTTATCTTATCTAATCATTATTTCCTATCTTGTTCATTTGCGGTTTTGCAGCTGAAGATGATGGTTCGGTGAAACCATCGAAAGAACTTTAGTCCTGTGAAATCATTTTGTGAATTAACGCTGATTTTAAACAAGGTAAATGTATCGTTTGACTTCTGAATTAGTATCGTTATCTTCGCCGTTGTGTATGTGTCTTAATTATATAGCCCCAAAACAGGCTTACTTTTTGCTTTCTCTTTTTGCACGTGGTGTTGGCCGCCATTTTGTGATTGTATGGAGTTTCGGTGAGTACTTTTTTGCAATTTTCAAGTTCTATTTTATGTTTTCGAACATTTGGATATTATGCTTTGCTTGTCTGATTTCATGCATTTTGGCTTACAAGCACGTTTTGTTTTCTATTCGTTTCAGTGTGAGGATTTTTCTGCTGTTTTGTGCGTACTTTATTATTGGCTCAGTTAATTTCGTTTGATTTTCTGCATTTTTTATCATGCCTTCATCCGTTAATCGTTTCACTAAATTACGCCTGAAACGGCAAAAATTCCTGAATAATCTTGACTTTTTACTTAAATGTAAATGTAAAAAATTGATCCCCAATTTTATTCAAATCAAATCTAATCAAAAACCTTCGAGTCGCGTTTTCAAGAATTCTGTTAAATTGCAAGCTTGCCTTACTTCGGTCCGTGATAAGGGATACACGTCAACAATTGTCCAAAATTGAACATGAACTCTATAAGCTTCATCTGGAACTCGCTAAATCATATCCAAAATTCACTGCCCTTGAACAAAAGTCTTGGTCTAGAGAACGGAGAATACAGTTAACCGTCATAAAAAACACCCTTGCAGTTAAATTCGAAAAACTTCTTTTACAGTCTTCCAGTTCAAATAGTTCAAAAATCTTCCCATTGTAAACATCAAGCCAATAGTTAATATTTCTAATGTTAGTCTTTCAGAAGAACAAGAGAGAATTCTAAAATATAATTTTAAACTTCTCACAAACCTGTAAACCCTCGATTCCAAAGATTTTGGCTCCTATCGAAAAAGCTTTCAAGTTCAGTAAAGTTTCAGATTCACAGAAAGAAATGATTAGGCATCTTATCGCTCATAATGTGAAATTCAATAATAAACCTTTGAAACCAAATCTAACTGCGAGAGAAAGAGCTACAATGCGTGAAATTCATTCTAACCCGGATATTATCATTTCAAAGGCCGACAAAGGTGGCCAGATAGTCGTCATGGATAAGAACACTTACATCGATGGTGTCACTAAACTCTTAAACGAAGGACCATATAATCCGATCCCTAAAGATCCTTCACCTTCGGACTTATCCAAAATAAAAAACTGCGATCAAATCTTCGCAAATCATTTCAAGCAACTTAAAACATTCGCTTATCCCATCTGTTGCGAATTGTGCCAGATTATATGCTCTTCCCAAAATTCATAAAAGTGGTATTCCTTTCCGCCCCCTATTGTATCAAATTTAGGTACTGCCTCGTATCCATTAGCTAAATATTTAGTTTCTAGATTTTCCACTCTATTAGACAATAACATTTACACCCATAAAAAATTCAATAGAGTTTGTAAAAAAGGTTAAAAACATTTCTCCTAGTAATTTACTCATGGTTTCTTTTGATGTAAAATCATTATTCACCAATGTCCCAGTGGAGGGTGCATTAAGATGTCTAGAAACCAGACTTCGCGAATTTCATTTCTCTTGCATCGAAATTGATGAGCTAATTTCTCTCACTCAACTCTGTTTGAAACAAACACATTTTGTTTTTTCCAAAATAAATATTACAAGCAAACTGAGGGAGGATTAGCCATGGGAAGCCCCCTCAGTCCCATCCTGGCTGATATCTACATGCATTATTATGAATCAAAATTGTTTGAAACTTTAAACTTCCCGGCATGGTTCCGCTACGTAGACGATACTTTTACCCTGTTTGAAGGTAATAAAGATGATTTAAATAAAGTTCTTTCAACAATGAATTCTATTGATCCTGCTATTTAGTTCACTTTTGAACTTGAGACTTGCAATTCTCTTCCGTTTCTCGACATTCTGGTCACACGTAACACATCCAACTTCAGTACTACAGTTTACCGTAAACCTTCATCGGTTTGCCTTCCACCACACTTTTAAATCATGTCATCCGACTAAACAAAAGTTAGCTTCATTTTATTCCTATGTTTTCCGTGCTCTTCAAGTTTGCTCCTCCAAACTAGCCCTTGATGAAGAACTAAATTATTTAAAAGCAATAGCTATTGACAGGGGCTTTTTCACCCCAACATTATTAATCAAGCAGTTAAAAAAATTTCATCTCAACACACTAAAAGCCACACTCTTTATTTTAGGAGATTATAAAAATTCTGTTGTCATTCCCTTCTTTCCATCAATTAGCTATAAAGTTGCACATATTTTGCAGAAATTTAACTTTCGGGTTTGTTGTTTATTCTCCCATCAATAAAATGCCAAATTCTATACTCAAGGTCCCCCATTCCGGATATGAATTCCTGGGGTATTTATAGGATTCCTTGCCAGTGTGGTTTAATTTACATTGGCCAAACTAAGAGAGCCTTAAAATTTCGCGTCAAAGAACATGAGGCATATGTTAGAAAAAAAGGAAACACAGAAGTCTTCTGTTGCTCAACATTGTTGGTCCAAAAATCACACTTTCAATTTTTCTGCTGCCAAAATTTTTCAAAAAAACATCTTCCATTGGAGAAACTGGATTTTCTAGAGGCATTTCACATTCAAAAATCTTTCTTGTGTTCTAGTTAACGATCCTAATTCCAATCCAAATTTGCCTTCGGCTTTTAGAGAAATTATTTTTTAGTTCTGGTTTCGCCAACAGATGGCGCCACTTGCTTATTCTTGTCCAGGCTTTCTTATCTTATCTAATCATTATTTCCTATCTTGTTCATTTGCGGTTTTGCAGCTGAAGATGATGGTTCGGTAAAACCATCGAAACTAGTCCTGTGAAAATTTTGTAAATTAACGCTGATTTTTGTTGTTTGACTTCTGAATTAATATATCTGTGTCTTTTAAAGTGATATACTGTTTAACAGCCAAATGAAAAATCCGCACTTTTATCCTTCCAAATTTTCAAAAAAGTATTCTTTATTTCATAATTACGTACATGCTTTTTATGTATGACTATCAAAAATAAACGAATTTTGCGTAGAAATTCAGCTTAAAGTTTTCCTCAAAACTTATACCTCAGAATTCCAACGACTTAAGAGTTAACTGTTCGAATTATTATCTGTTAATCGAAACTTAAGAGTTATCTGTTCACACGTCGGATATCGCAAATCCTATACAGGACAAGATTTATCTATGTCATAGTAATATTACAATTTGCTATCAATATAGATTAATGAATCAATAATACTGTTGTGGAATAGCAATTAGGAATTGAATTTTTTAATAAAAGAATACATTAAAATCTATATTGGTTTACGTAGCAAACATATATCGTACATTGGACTGCAAATAATGAACAATTATTATCCTCTTAGATTTAAAAAATGTCTGAATTACTTACGTATGCAATGGAAGTCAGGCCCAAACCATTGTGCAGTTCCATTATAGTGAAGACACTTCGCCTTGGGAAATCCTCTCGGGTCATAACCAGGAAAACAACTATATTGCACCATGGAATCGATCGGAAAGTCACTTTTGTCCAGGGGTGCACTATGCTTAGCGTGGGGAACCAGAGGAAGTGATCCACACATTGCTATACGAAAAGAAAAAGAAAAATAATTTATAGAAAGACCTTCCATGTTTTTTATCAGATATTTCTGAAAATTAGGTGAGAAATGAACTGAAACATTTCATTACAATACTAGATTTTCGAACAGTAAATGTAAAGTGAATTCTCTGTTAAGAAAATAATACACGTTTTAAATACCTGATTTTTAAGTTAAAACAGATAAATGTCTTTTTTATTCTCTTTCATTGAAACATGCAAAAAGGATTCTTGATAGAAAAATTTCGAATTCTAAGCTGATTTAACTCAAAATAAAAATCTCGAATATCTACAGCCTCAGTTGCACTGGAAACATTGAGAAGTTAAAAGATTACTAATTAACAGTTTAAGTAATAAAAAAAGTCTTAGTAGTAAAAGAGCCTAGTTGTCAATCTGTAAAGTTTTAAGAAAAGTTGTTTTATATTTGCCAAGTTTTTTAACCATACGTCAAAAATAACAATTTTTCATCTAAGATTCACTCTCTGTTTATACTTAAAGGCATACATTTATCTTTTATTATGAGTAAGTGCCCCTAGTAATATTTTTCTTTAAAGGTTCATATCATATATGTCTCACGAAATGGAATCTGATGGATGACGTAATCATGGAAATACATTAGCTTTTACATTACATATTTTTGTAATGACTCTCATTTTCTTGATGTGACTGACGTAAATCTCACATTCTGTAATTTCAAGTAATGACCATTTGTTTGCAAAAGAACTATGTATTATAGACGAACTTTCATAAAACTATACATTTTTTTGAAGTACATACATTTTTAGACATGTAACTTAGTCATTGGTCTATTAAACTATTAGACGTCGAAATGAGTTCAATGAAAGATATCGAGATTGCGTCTGCGGAAAAAATTTAAAAAGCTTAGCTTATTGAACGTTCAATCGAACATGCTGAGCAGAGTTACGGACGTACTGAAGCAATGTCTTAAAATATTACATTAGACGTTCTGATAAAAACGATCTCTTATTAACAATACAGCTGGAAGCGCGCGAAAATATTGTTACGGATTTGGTATTTAAATAGCTTATGTTAGTTGGATTGTAAATTAAATGGTTTTATTTCTCGCTCAGTGCAGCGCGTGACGAATATTAAAAGAAAGCTAAACCGGAAAATTGAAAATACAAGAGCGCGTGCATGTAACATTTAATAAATATCTCTCTTTGATTTCGAGAAAGTACTAGAAAATTCTTGCGCGCGATTTTAAAATCTTATAAAAGGAGGAAAACCTCTCAGTTCGTTGTAGTTACTTAGTTTGTTGTTGTTTAGAAAACTGCTGTTGTTGAATGTAGCGAATTCGCGGATTAGCTTTCTTTAGCTGTTTTGAATTAAGTTCTTTTGAACTTTTGAGTAGTTAAAAGATAACTACTGTGAGAGTTTGTAATACTGCGCTAATATTTGAGGACATTTAAGCATTATTTGCTGTGATAATAATAAATTTTGTTCCTTTTTCATCGGACTTGTGCATTCATTTCGTAACGAACCCGTACACAAGCAACAATTTTTGGTGTCAGAAGTGGGATTTGAATGCCAATAACAAGAGCGATGGAAGAGCAATTGAGACAACTCATCATTGCTGCGTTCCAAGAAAAGATGGAAGCTAGCCAAGCATCCTTTAAAGAAGAGATTAAAGTGGGAAGCCGTTAAAGAGAAAATGGATGTTATTCAAAAATCCGTTAAGGAAGAAATGGAAGCCGTTCAAGCTGGTCAAGAAAAGATTGAAGCAGGTCAAGAAGAAATGAAAAGGGAAATTACTTGCTTAATAGAAAAAAAAATTGAGGCTATGGAAAACAGAGTGGAGATGGTTGAAAAAAGAGTTGGAGAAATTGAAGAAAAGGTTTCTGCTGTCCAACAACAAATCGAACAACAAATTGATGAGAGAGTTTCTGCAGTTGCCAAAGAATGGATACTTTAAAGAAATTCGTAGCGACGGCAGGGAGCAAGAGTGATGATTTTAAATTCTTACCGATGCCTGCTCGTCCATCTCTGAAGTTATCCACATATGATGGGAAGACATCCTGGGAAGTGTATAAGACCCAATTTTCTATCGTTGCGAATGCGAATGGATGGGATTCCCATACTGAGGGCTGTCATCTCGCCGCTTCTCTGAGAGCAGACGCAGCGGATATCCTTCAGACTCTTCCCGAAAACAAAAGGTTAGTTTTCGAAGCTCTGTACGGCGCGTTAGAGCTGCGCTTTGGAGAGAAGTGTTTAAAAGACTACAGCAGGCCTCAGTTAAAATCCCGTCAACAGAAAAACACGGAAACACTCCAGGAACTTGCCACGGATGTTGAAAGGCTGTCCCACCTCGCCTTTACGGAGTGCCCGAGAGAAACGTGGGAAATCCTGTCGCTGCAATATTTCATCGATGGCATCCGGGACCCTGAAATACAGAAAGCATTGCGAATGGCGGATGTTAAAGATTTGAAAAGCGCTTTAGTGTACGCCATGAAATTCGAGGCAGCCCAGCAAGCCACTCGTAGAGAACGCTACCCAGTCAGAGCTGTGCGAGTCTACGAGCCAGTGGATCAATTGATGGCTCGTTTAGATGATTTATCCAGACAAGTCGACGCTTTGATACAAAAGTAGACAAAAGTGAGAACAAAGTGGCTCGAAGGTGTTGGAGATGTGGGTTCTGAAGGTCACCTGCGATGGCATTGCAGAACACCCCATGGCACGGATAATAAAATGGAAGATTTGATAAGACCAGTGAATGCCTTAATACGTAATACTGAAGAGGAGAAACCAATCCTAAAGTGCTGGAACTGCGGTGTTGAAGGCCACCTACGAAGGAACTGCAGAACACCCCAGAGCACGGAAAATAAGGCATAGCATTTAAACAGGCAATTAAATGCCATGGGAAGGAAAAGGAGTGACAAGAAACCAAAGTGCTGGAACTGTGGAGCTGAAGGCCACGTACGAAAGAATTGCAGAACACCCCAGAGTACGAAAATTGAGACCATTTCTCAGCAACGACGCAAGAAACAAATTAATGACCATATCAAGGAACGGAGGTTGCCAGATAATGAAAAATCTTGTTTTAAAGCACTCAAGATTTCTACAGTGAGTGGCAACAGTAACGGACTGTCCATCAATGGGCACATCGATGGAGTTCCTTGCAATAGGATCATTGACACAGGAGCTAATGTTACCATCATTCGAAGAGATTTAACTGAACAGTTTAAAGATAAACTTATTTGAACGTCATCCTGTGTTACCCTTCAGATTGCATCTGGTGATAAGATCGACATAGCTGGGAAGTTAAACGTGAACATCATGTTTGGAAGTGCCGCCTACCATCACACGGCATATGTGGCGGATATTACAGATCCATGCATACTCAGATTGGACTTTTTAAGGGGACTCATACACCTTAAAACCTATAAGATGTTCGAATAGGTGACTGTTGCAAGAATTAGGATAACTTATTTATTTTAAAAGCAATTACTACCAACATTTTACAGCTGACTACATAATATAGCTGCTTTCTGAAATAGCAATCAGAAAGTTTGTGTTGCCACAAATATTTTTATAATTTAATTCGCTTTGTGACAACATTTTTTGTCATGTTTCCAACTTGCGCACACAGTTTAAAACATTCTGTTTCATAATTTAATTCCATATTTAATATATAGCTTTTATAACATTTGGAAACTACTGTGAACCTAAAATTCTAAAAATTTCATGTTAAATTTTTATTTATTTTGAGTTGAGTTTGTAAAATGTATTTGATTAAAAAAATTTGTAATGTTTTCGTCCATAAAAATTTTTCAATATTAAAATATTCATCAGATTGTTGGTTCAGTTAGAAAATAGTGCCCATATAAAGAATTCCATCTAATTTCAAGTGTGTACCATTAGCCATTTTTAAAATATCATGCGCGCAAGGTGGAAACATGGCGAAATATTTTGTCACAAGAGGATTAAATTACAAAAAATATTGTGGCAACACAAACTTTCTGGTTACTAGTTTCCAAAGCAGCTATATTATGTAGTCAGCTGTAAAAGGTTGAAAGTAATTGCTTTTAAAATAAATAAAATATCCGAATTCTTGCAACAGTCACATATTCGAAGATGATTAGGTGTTTAAGGTGTATGAGTCCCCTTAAGGAAATACAATTTTTTCCTTAGACCTCAAAAACAGCAAACTGCTGTCAACATCTGAGGACACGACTATCCATCGTCAGAAGAGATCCTCACTTGGAAACGCCTACGCCTTTTCTGGAAGACCCAGTTCAGAAAGCTGCCGAAATCATACTAGGGTCGGAAAGAAACACCAAACTACCGGCTATAGGTGAAGACCAGATACGACATGAGAGCTGCTGGACATAGATTAAAAGAAGGAGACAAGGTGTGGTTGTGGAACCCGATTCAACGAAAAGAACTCAGTCCTAAATTACAGTCACCTTTGGATGATCCATATACAGTCCTGAAGAGACTGAATGACATCATGATCCGTAAGTCTTCGAACTCTAAACCTAAAGTCATTCATTACGACAGGTTAGCTCATTATTATGGCCATAATACGTAATGTACATAATTGTAAATAGTGTAAGACCATGGTCCTTTTTGTTTCTAAATGTGTATTTAGTATTTGTATTTTGTATTTGATAGCATTTGATTTGTTTTATTTATTGTTCATGTTGTTTATTATTGTAATGTAATGCCTATTGTATTCATGCCTTAGTTGTAAGTTTGGCTTCCTGTCCAAGGATTGTACTGCCCGGGACGAGCAGTCCTTGGGAAGGGGGCAGTGTTACGGATTTGGTATTTAAATAGCTTGTGTTAGTTGAATTGTAAATTAAATGGTTTTATTTCCCGCGCAGTGAAGCGCGTGACGAATATTAAAAGAAAGCTAAGCCGGAAAATTGAAAATACAAGAGCGCGTGCATGTAACATTTAATAAATATCTCTCTTTGATTTCGAGAAAGTACTAGAAAATTCTCGCGCGCGATTTTAAAATATTATAA